ATCATTTAATAATCCTATCTGACATGTTTACAGAAACAGAAACAATAAAGGTATAACAATGAACAAATTTATTTCACTCATAACACTTTATCTAATCAAATAACTATTATCATTGTTCTCTAAAGCACGAAAAAGGTCATATCAATACATTTAGTTAAAATATTTGCAAACTTTCATACAAAGCTGTTTGTCAAGGCATTGTTTAAAATAGCAAAAAAGTAGAAATAATCTAATTGTCTAAAGAGAGACTAGTTGAATAAAATACAGTACAACCTTTCAAATGACCATGTAGGCCTATGTTTTCTAACCTGAAAAGAAGCCAAGAAAATAGCAAATTACAAATAAAAAAACAATATGATCTCTTTTTGTGGATATACATACACATATATTCAAAGAGAGAAAGTCTAAATGGATAGATACCCAGATGTTAACCATGATACTTCTGAGTGCTAGGACTACAAGTGCTTTTTATTTTTCTCCATGCTTTTCAATATTCTCTAAAATTTTCCCAAGCAAAATGATATTTGCAAAAATTAACATGTATAATTCCAACTAACAAACTCCAAGCTTTTTGCAAAGAAGGTTGCAAAAAGCCCAAGGAATATCCAAAAATTCCCTGGCATGGAGCAAAAAAGAAAGTATTAGCAACATCATAACTGGAATTCTTTGTGAGCTAGGCACACTAGAGGACTCCAGGACTGCCACGCCACCTTTAAGAAGGCCCACAGTATAGGGATTTGAAATCACAAGACCTAGGGTTCAAGTCCTGCAACTTTTATTTGTACAACCTTGGACTGGTCACTTATCCTTTCTGGGTTCACTCTACCTACCTATAAATGCGAGTTATTACTTGCCTGTCCTACCTCAAAGAACTGTTGGAAAGATCGAATACAATGTGATACATTATGAATGGCAAAGTACTACATAAGTTATTATTATTCAAACACTAAAGAAAATAAGATGCTTAATGCCAGAGCTGAATACTTCAGAAAACACTGCAATCAATTCTATGAAGTAACAAACCAAGATTTTTTTGTTTTTTAAAGGCTACATCTCATAATAAACACCCAGTTTTTCTGAGACTTAGATACTTCTTCCCATTCCCACTACAATACCATAAGCCATTTTATTTCCTTATCCCTAGTTACTAGCAAGAAAGAGTACAAATTACACTGAACTCAAAAGCCTCAGCAAGAACCCTGGAGCAGCACATTGATGGAGTTTACCAGGAGAAACCCAAGGTTAATCAGCTATGGACTCTCCACTAAGCACTACTGCAATCAACAGGGATTTACAAGAGACTCTTTGAAGAGAAAGACAATGCAAATCACCCAGGAGAAAACAGTAGGAAAAGAAAGCGGTATTTTAAAACAATTATATTTTGAAATACTTAAAAACTAAAGTATTTTATTAATTGCTTTTAAATACTGTTCATAAAAATGGTGAAATAAAACAAAAATCATCTAAATGTGACACATGACAAAAACAAGCTGTGGAGATTCAAATCAAATCCATGAATAAATTGCCAGATTTACCTGACTTTTATCTGAAATATAAGCAGACAAACTACACCACAAAGATCAAAACTAAGTGGCTATTTCTTGAAAATAAAAAAGGAGAATACAACAACAGAATTTACTGACACATTTATAGATACTTTTAAAAGTATGGTTTCTCTTCCCATTGAATTCCATTATTTACTCTACTAAAATTATGATGAACAACTTCCCTCCCACTATTTCTCTTGTGAGTTAAAATGGCACTATAACTTGGTTTGAGTTTTAATGCAAAAAATATTTGTTTAACAAAAGTATTTTAAGAGGAGCTACAAGAAGCTGTCAGATTAACTACTGAGATCATCTGGACATCACACCCTCCTGCTTTTAAGTTCATGAAGATTATAAAATACTCACCCTTTTCTTTAAATTAAGTTCATGAAGATTATAAAATACTCACCCTTTTCTTTAAATTAAGTTCATGAAGATTATAAAATACTCACCCTTCACTTTCTTACAAATGCCATTTATAGGGTATTCCCCTAATGAAAAATTAAACCTTTCATAAACAAATGTGCACTGAGAACTCATTTTGATATGTATGACTCACTTACTTTTATTGGCTATATCTTGAAGTGTTGCCGCCACACTATTTCTATAGAGGATACAGATCTATTTGGTTTTCCCATCTGATCTTTGCAAATTCGTTATAGATTTAAACGGACTCACTAAAAGGGCCATGAGAAAAATAAGTAGGAATACAATCTATAGCAAAATGAAGTGTGGGGACTCACTAAAAGGGCCATGAGGAAAATAAGTAGGAATACAATCTATAGCAAAATGAAATGTGGGCTTTGAACTAACGAAAAAGTCACTGTATTTACTCCAAGCCTCATAGTTGGAAGTACTGTGTTTCTATTTAAAATTTCAAAAAATCAAGATTTTTCTTAATTCTTACTCTGAATTTTCCTGCCTTACTAGCAATGTCCGCTATTTACCTCTAAAAACCAAAACAAACAAGAAACTCTCAGAAAATATCATTTCTGAAAGGAGTATCTTCCAAACTTTACTACATAGAACATATATACACTTTTTCGAATAACTATGGTAGGCGTTCCTGAGAAACCTCCCCCATCCCCCCTAACAAAAAGAACAACAAATCTAACCACAATGAAGGATTAACAAATTTTTAACACAGCTATCACCAGCTAGGCAATTTATCACTGCTCCTCAAAGTCTCAGCACACATAACAATATGTTGAAACAGTTATAATTTGAAAAATTATACAACAGGAACATAAAAGTAGAAAACAAGTCTTCTGGTAAAACTCAAGTAGATTTTGAAGAGAGCAAAACAGGAGACCAATTTTAGAAAAATAACACTTCCCCAAGTGTCCCGTGTTTATCTGATACTGGCTCATTTTTGTAAAGAGAAACTTTACCTAACAAGACTCACACCAGGGATCTGATCTATCCCCACAGGCACTTTCTCAAAATGAGAAAGAACAAAGAAGGAAACCTCCCAGCATGTGCTTTCCATACTAGTTTCTTTGGACAGCATCAAGAGTGACAATATAGCCCGCACAAGCTTTTCAGATTTACTCGATGGTCCATGTATAACAGAACTAATTAGCTATCATTCAAAAGGACTCCTAACAAAATAAATATTAGAAGGCAAAGATCGCAGGAACATAGTGACTATACTTTAAGGGAAAAATCTATAGATAACATGTGTCTTAAAGTAGTGTACTCTTTATTTCAATAGTTAATTATCTCCGAATATTCAAATTCCTCACGCTTTCTCATTTCAGACAATAGTTTGAAACTGGAAAAAACAAACTACCCATTTTAAAACAGCCCTCCCTTAAAGTTGTAATTAGAAGTCAGTTTTAAAAGAATGACACTCAAAGCCAATACCTTAACATATAAATCTTGGAATGTTAACACTGCAAAGTTATTAGGAAAAAAGTCTTTCAGTGAGGCTTATCCACAGAAAAACCCTCCAGAAACAAAACTGGCGTCTGTGTTTCTAAAAGTTGCCGTTTCATTGTAACGGAAAAAATTTTAAAGCAATTTTTGTTAACTAAAAAAAGACTCTCCCCAAAGATGTACAATTGTATATCCCAATCTCCACTCTGACAGAGATGTCAGTTCTCTGCGTCGGGATATAACCAGCTCCTTGGTTCACACACAGGAAAGCCACAGAGAAGGGAATATCGCATTCGGAGCCTCGAAATAATACGCGTTAGTTAAGAACTGCTTGCTACTAAACCAAAATTATCCAAGCGGAGCCCCATTTGTCACAATCCAATCATAAAGGTTCCACCCCCCTCCCCCAGCTGCTTATGTTGTGGTATATCTGCCTCGGTAAAGAAGCCATCATCAGGTAAAGATTGGGGTGGGAGAAAACGCGGGGAAAGGGGCCACCCTTTCATCTAATTTCGCGAGGCGTGAGTAATTGGTACAGTTGAGAGGAACGGAGGAACGTTCTATTTATTGGGGGTTGGAGTAGGAAGAGGGGAGAATTTCGTTCAAATCAACATGGCCAGCAAGATGTCCCTACAAACAAAAGGCAACGGGGGGGATATAAACACGAACCATTCACCTCCATCAGCCACAGCATCGCCATCATGGTGTGTGCAGAGACCCCCAAGTCTCCTCTCACCCTCCACACCAGCCAAAGCAAGAGAAGGGAGAGAGGGAGCTGCCTCCCACACTCCCCCCTCCCACCCCCCGCTTCCAAATACACACTTTTAGAGGGAGGTTATCCCTCCGGTTGCCCGGAATCCGAAAGAAAGAGTAACGTCCCGCCCAGGCAGGCTCCCCCCGCTACCTCTCAGCCGAACACCAAAGCCGGCCCGAGGCTCGCTAAACTTTACCGGAGCTTCTCCCCACATCCCCACCCCACCGCCCCAGGATCGCGCCTCCCACAAACGGGGCACCCCGGGCGCCTCCTGACAGGCAGGCAGCCGGGGACAGCCGAGTCCGGGGCGGGGGCGGCAGGGATCCACAGAGGGGCGGGGCGGCCGGAGCCAAGTTCCCGGGGGTCTGAGAGCGCCTGACAGGAGCCCGGGACTGCAAAGGAGGAAGAGGAAGCGGCGGCGGGGAGCTTTCCCAATCCCCCCTACAAGAACACCCTGCCCCCAGTCCCAGCCCTCCATGGGGGGCGGGGAGGCTGACTGCAAGGTGAGGGAGCCGAGCTCTGGGGACAGCCGCAGCCCCAACCTCCAGACTCCCGGTCTCTTCCTCCGCCACCCCCGCCAGAGGCGCCCACAACAATAACACGCCGGGGACGACCCGTCAGCGCCCCCGAGGCACCGGGGCCCGCGGCCCGCCGCAGCTGGGCCCCCTCTGCTGGAGCTGGGCGCATCTCTCCTCCCTACAACTCCAGGCCCGAGTGAAGTCAGGCCCGAGCTACCCCCCAGGGTCGGACCCATCCCCCCCGGCACTAGCGGCGCCGTCTCCGCGGCCGAATATTAGAAGTGAATTCGAGCTGCGCTTTACCTTTAGTTCCGCACTGTCCGCCATCTTGCGTCTGTCAGCGCAAGCGTAGTGAACCTCGCCGGGGGCCGCCGCTNCTCTAACCGGCCTGGCCCCGCCTTGGCCCGCCCCTCCACCTTCTCGGCCCGCCCCCGACCTCCGCCCCGCTCCGGGCGCTTGGAGTCCCGCCCCGGGCACGTACAGCTGCGAGACAGGCACGTACTATTTAAATAATGGCGCCAAGCGGCGAGGTTTGACAGTTACTCCCCACTCGGTCTCCCCGCCCCCATTCTCGCCCGGCCATCGCCTCCAGAGCGAGAGGGCTGCTGGCCTGAGCCCCGCCCCTGCTCTGTCCGCCGAACTCTTCTGCAAAGCTTCCATACCTACAGTCACAGAAATAATAATGCTCCCCTTCCCCAATCAGCAAGGCTTTTGCAGCACCTGCTACCTGCCAGGCTACGTGTAGGCTAGAAATAACACGTAACGTTTAAGGAGCACTTGATGAAGCGTTTCGAGGTTTATTGGCTCAGATCCTCCTCATGATAACACGGGGAGGTAGGCAAGGAGATTATAATTCCCGTGTATATATTCAGAAATAAAAGCTCAGAGAGGAAAAGTGACTTGGCCAGTCGAGTACTTAACAGGGGTGCCTATGACAAAATTCTGAAAACGTCCATTTGTTAACTTTTCTGTTTCACCGAGTATTTATTTAGTGACGACTGGCCCTGTGCTAAGGGCTATACGTACCTACATTGGGAAATTAGACAAGATCTCTGCCCTCCTGTAGTTCTCTAATGGAAGAACAAACAGATGAACTAATAAAGATACAATTACAAATGGTGATGAATTCCTGAAAGGATAAAAGGTCCAGTGAGAGAGAAAAAGAGTTTGTGTACTTAATCCTTGGAGGGCTTTCTCCACTAAATTGACATTTAAGTAGACCTGATAGAAGGATTTTTTCTCTCCTTTTCTTCTCTACTAAAAGCTTCCTATACCTCCTCCCCAACCTCTATTTTTTACTGACCAACTTTGCCTCATACCTCATGGAAAAAATAAAAGATATCAGACGTTGAACTCCCTTATCTTCTCCCCATCAAAACTACTCTTATCTGCAAAGTAACATTTGGGTTACGATGAATGAAGTATCATTCCCTTCCTATGAAGGCCAGTCCCTCCACCAGTGACCTGGATAACTCTTCTGCAAAGCTTCCATACCTACAGTCACAGAAATAATAATGCTCCCCTTCCCCAATCAGCAAGGCTTTTGCAGCACCTGCTACCTGCCAGGCTACGTGTAGGCTAGAAATAACACGTAACGTTTAAGGAGCACTTGATGAAGCGTTTCGAGGTTTATTGGCTCAGATCCTCCTCATGATAACACGGGGAGGTAGGCAAGGAGATTATAATTCCCGTGTATATATTCAGAAATAAAAGCTCAGAGAGGAAAAGTGACTTGGCCAGTCGAGTACTTAACAGGGGTGCCTATGACAAAATTCTGAAAACGTCCATTTGTTAACTTTTCTGTTTCACCGAGTATTTATTTAGTGACGACTGGCCCTGTGCTAAGGGCTATACGTACCTACATTGGGAAATTAGACAAGATCTCTGCCCTCCTGTAGTTCTCTAATGGAAGAACAAACAGATGAACTAATAAAGATACAATTACAAATGGTGATGAATTCCTGAAAGGATAAAAGGTCCAGTGAGAGAGAAAAAGAGTTTGTGTACTTAATCCTTGGAGGGCTTTCTCCACTAAATTGACATTTAAGTAGACCTGATAGAAGGATTTTTTCTCTCCTTTTCTTCTCTACTAAAAGCTTCCTATACCTCCTCCCCAACCTCTATTTTTTACTGACCAACTTTGCCTCATACCTCATGGAAAAAATAAAAGATATCAGACGCTGAACTCCCTTATCTTCTCCCCATCAAAACTACTCTTATCTGCAAAGTAACATTTGGGTTACGATGAATGAAGTATCATTCCCTTCCTATGAAGGCCAGTCCCTCCACCAGTGACCTGGATTCCTTTCACTCCCACGTTCCTAAAGATTTTACTCCTATAATTACTTCTCCCTCCAACATCATTAGTTTTTTCTCTCTCAATTGAATTACTCCTAGCAGCATATAAACATACTGAAATTCCTCCCATCTAAAATAAACTTTCCTTGATTCCAAAATCGCCTCCAGCAAATGCCCTGTTTATCTACTCCCTTCACTGCATAAATTCTCAGAAAGGTTTCTCTACAGTGCTTGTTCCCACTTCCTCACTTCTCAAACTTCCTCACTTCTCAACTTACCCTGATCCAGCTTTGGCTTCCATCATCACTTATCAAGATTACTGATGATCTCCCTGTTTTCAAAGTCAATTGCCAATATCTATTCATATCTAAATTGACCTCTCAGCAGAATTGCAAGCAATTGACTTGCTTCCTTTCTCTTGAAACACTTTTTCCCTTCATCTTCCCTCCACATCACACTGTCCTGAAATTCCTGTCCCCTCACTGGGCCTCCTTTTCAATATCCTTTGCTAATTTCTCCTCTTTGACTTAATCTTTAAATGTTGGACTGCTCCAGGTCTCAGTCCTTGCGCTTTTCTCTGTTATATCACCAGGTGATCTCATTCAACTCCCTGACTGTAAGTCTATAAGCTGATGACTTTCAAATTTCTCTCCAGCCTAGACTTCTCCACCAAAACCCAGATTCACAAATCCAATTGGCTACTTAACATCCCTACTTCATGTCTCCTAATCATCTCAAACTCATCATGTCAAAGAGAGCTCTTGATTTTACCCCAAATCTTGCTCCTTTCCCAGTATCCTCAGTGGATGGCACCATCATCTACCCAGGTATCCAAAAAAAAATCTGCAAAACATCCTTGATTTCTCTCTTTCACTCTCTTCCAACATCCTATTATTCATCAGCCACTCTAGCCGACTATACCTCTAAAACATATCCCAATATCCCAAGTCAGTCCATTTCACTGCCTCTCCACTACTATCCTCCAATAATGCCCACCTTGGCACCCATTCCAAGCTGCCATAGTCTTACACCTACACTGCTGGGAAAGCTACCCAACTGATAGGGACACAATATGATTTTCATGGTCCTAGGCATTTTTGCCTTCTTGGACCTTGTGGTATAATAAAAAATATGTTTGGTCTTTTTCTCCAGTTTCTGGCACAGAGCTCCTAAAACCCTTGAATTTCTAGGAGTGACTTTTATTATTCATAACAAGCTCCTTTCAATCATACCTGAGTTTATGCTAATGAGGTGACAGAAGTGGGGAGGCCTAGAGAGCATCAGGATGGGGGCTATTCACCACAAAGATTGGTCAGCCTCACCCACCTCTGGGGAGAGGATAGGGCCGAAAATTGGGTTATAAAAACTCTTCAACAAGAGGTTCAAAGAGGTTCTGGGTTGTTGAAGAGAAGGGAAGGGTGAGAAGGCATGAAAGCTCTGCACACCCTCCCTCTATACCTTGCCCTATCCATCTCTTCCATTTGGCTGTACTGAGATGTAGCCTTCATAAAGACAAAATTACAACAAATTTAGTTTAGATATCTTTATGGCTTTATTTCTGATTCTAGAATCAGGCAACACTTCATTGCATATAGTAGTATGAGTTTTCCCATGAGCTGAGTAGAGGAGTTTGGTTTTATTGACAGAGAAGAGCTTAAGAAAGCAGAAACAGGGGCCAAGTCCATGGCGCACTCGGGAGAGTGCGGTGCTGGGAGCGCAGCAGCGCTCCCGCCCCGGGTTCGGATCCTATATAGTGATGGCCGGTTCACTCGCTGGCTAAGCGCGGTGCTGCCGGTCTCAAAAAGGACAAAAAAAAAAAAAGGTTGGGGAAAGTGAATTATCTTTTAATTCTATTGTTCCACAAACTTTTTGAAGTACCCTGGTAGCATCTATTCATTGGTAATTCCAAAATGTGTGTCTTCAGCCTGAAACTCTTCCCTAACTCCAGATTTAATCATTCCTCCTGGTTGTTTAGTAGGCATTTCAAACTAATGCTTCCTTTGTAAGGATGGAAGCAGAGAGAACTTCATCATAATGCCGATTGAAACTGGCCTGTTTGGAAATTTGGCTGTTATCTCTCTCCCAATTTCTTGAAAGATCAGATAAACAACTTAGTTTCAGCTTTCTGACATGGAACTTTAGCATGAATGACTCCATTTTGGTTTGGTCTGTCAGGCCTAGTACAAGGGTTCAGTCCAAATCAATGGCCTCCTATAGGTTTTAACATAACCTGAGTTCTGTGAGTCATTCTAGCAAATTATCAAACCTGAGGAAGGAATTACAGGAACCCTTAAATTTATAACTGGTCAATCAGAAGTATGGGTTGTTCAAGGAATTTATGACTGGTGTCTGAAGGGAGGGCAGTCTTATGAGACTGAGCTCTTAACCTGTAGGGTCTGTACTAATTCCTAGAGTCAGTGTCATAATTGAATTGAATTGTAGGACACTCAGTTGGTGTCAGAGAATTGGAGAATTGGTATGGAAAGTCACCGTGTATTTGGTGTCAGAAAGAACATCAGAGGTGCCTTCTTTCATAAAAAAAATAAATAAAAATTACATTTTACAACTGCATTGGTATGAAGACTAATGTAATCCAAACTGACTACATGTATTTGGTGTCAGAAAGAACATCAGAGGTGCCTTCTTTCATAAAAAAAAAAAATAAAAATTACATTTTACAACTGCATTGGTATGAAGACTAATGTAATCCAAACTGACTACATTCAATTATTTTTTTCTGGCTTTAAAAGATTTAAAACATTGTTGTGGAAATATTGAAAACTATTGTGGTCCTCACCCAATACACAAAAAAATAACTTAAAATGAATCATAAACTTTAATATGAGCTAAAACCATAAAACCCTTAGAAGAAAATTTAGAAGTAAAGCTCTATAACTTTGGATTAGGCATAGCCTTCTTAGATATAGATCACACAAACATTGTTTATGAATGATAGAGCCACCCTGGAAAATAGTTTGGCAATTCCTTTGAAAACAAAATTACTAAGTCATATGAAAGCATATGATTTAGCAATTACACCCGTGGGCATTTAACCCAGAGAAACAAAGCATTTTCACACAGGAGGTTGTAAAAGAATGCTCATAGCA